AATATTTTAAAAAACAAAAAAAAATAAACAAAAAAATAAATAAAAGTTCTGGAATGAACCTATATTCCTTGAAATATAGTTGATTAAACAAACTTTGATTCATGAAATTAGGGCACTATTGTGTCTCCTTATGAAAAGTTAGCCAGTTATAAATACAATGATATTCAGAATTTCTGAGATACACTTGTAAGGAAAAAATAAACAATTAGGATTCTTGTTTAAAAAAAAGTATAAATGTTTATTAATTACATGAAAACATACTCAATACATCTGACCATTGGAGAAATGCTAACTAAAGCAACACTAAGATTCCACCTTTCTCCAGAAAGAATGACTATCAATAAGAAATCATATAATAGCAAATCTCATTGAGGCAGTGAAGAAAAATGAACTTCGCTGTACTTTTGGTGTGGCTGTAAACTAGTACAACCATTATGGAAATGAAAGTACATACTCTACAAAAACTAAATCTAGAAACTCCATTTAACTCTGGTATTCTCCTTCTATATTTCTTCCCAAAACAAAGTTTCATTTTACAGTGAAACATGCATAATCATGTTCATAGCAATACAATTCATACAACCAAATGGAAGCAGTTGCTACATTCATCAAAAAATGAATGAGTAAGGAAGATATGTTATTGATAAATTATGTTATTGACAATGGAGTACTATTTTATCAAAAAGGAGGATAAATTTACCAAAAAGGAGGAAAATGAATGTGCCTTGGACCATAATGCTAAGTGAAATAAATCAGATACAAATTTAAATTGGATGATTCTTCATATATAAGAAACCCAAAATATAAGTAAAGAGGAAAATAAAAGATAAGAGGAGTTAGGGAGATAGGTCTTTTGAAAAATGGAAAGGGAACTGAGATGTAAAGAGGGGGAATGAGGGAAGGGAGAAGGGAAGAAGATGGAAGATTCTATGTACATGTCCTGTGTACATGTACTAGCTCCCCGTGAGATATGTAACATGTAGTATAAAAAGAAAAATGAAAAATAAATAAAATGCAGAAGTTTACATTAAAAGACTGCTGGCTTCTTTTAATGTAAACTTTTAATCCTGTGGAATACAACTGGTAATCCCTGAATCTTTCAATTTTACTTGTATCTTTCCCTAGTTACAATATTTATCCAGAATTACATAAATGATATTGGTTTATCTGAAGTTAGAAGAGCTTTAAATTGTATTCTTTGCCTTTGTGTAGAAAAATATAATAAAATCATTACTGTGATGGATGTCATATTCAAATGAAGAATTGCAGTATCCTTTATCTCATATATATTGACTGGCTAAAAGAAAAATAGATGTAGAAAATAAATGTCTAAAAGTCATAGTTATAGTCTGGTTTCTCTTCAGATCATATAAATCTTTCGCCTTTTACTAAAAGTCATAGTTAAGTTTAGTGTAATCCTAGTTAAAAATTCAAATAGAATTATTTTAAGAACTTTAAAATGAGTTGTTCTGTTTTATAAAATCTTAGTTAACAAAATTTCAACATGGTAAAATAATTAAAAGCATTTTATCCCTCTGATATTAAAAACATTAAACTATAATTTTGAAAAATTAACAAGAAAATGAAAAAGAACAAATAATTTTAAGAGGCCTGGTATATTAGAACTAGATGTATGCAAAACACATGACAAACCAATGATGAAGAGAAAGGACAAGAGCCAGCAACATAGCTCAGCAGACTAAGGGCCTGCTCTGGCAAGCACAAGGACCAAGGTTCAATCTCTGGTCCTACACAGTGCACTGGTCTGCCTCCAGGCACACTGAGCAGCAACTGAGTCTGGGCAAGGTGGTGCATGACTGTAAGCCCAACACTGGGGAGGCTGAAAACAGGAGAATTACTACAAGTCTGAGCTGTATAGTGAGACCCTATATCAAATACATCAAATGGAAAAAAAAGAAGAAAATAAAAAGGACAATGGGGATATTAACTAAGTATATTCAGGGAAAATTTAAATTAGATCTATATTTCATACCATTCCTGTAAATTATGACAGGCTTATAGTTTTTTTTAATTTTATCTTAAGGGACAAAAACAAAAGCAAAAACAAAGGAAGAGAGCAACATATAATAATACATATGGTACAGAATTTCAAAACAAGAATAGAAAATTAAGAATGGTTGTTATAGTATGTACTTTTACTGTTAAATCTGTTGCTCAGATAACCACATATAGGAATGCAAGAATAGTTAAATAATTAAAAAGATAAGAAAAAAGTAATTATTATGATCTATTGAAAGGAAGAGTTCATGGATTATAGACTTCTTAGTAAAAAAATACATATAACATAATAGATTTTTATAGACTGTAGATTGCTTTGGACTTCATAATGAATGAAATTTGTAAGCTTATAAACTATGGGAAAACTCACAAGTGAAAAGATTATCTATTTGATACACAAAAGAAGCTACATCTATAAAGGGCCTAAATATTTCACACATGTTTGTTTTTTTTTTTTCATGTAATCTAATCTCATTGAAATGCTCATGATGAAGTACGAAAAAAATAAAAAACCATATATAGTGTCTGTTTTACAAAATGCATGTCTATATAGTGGCAATCACGAATAATCTATCTTCAATATAGTCCTTATATTTGAACACCACTATGCACAATTCATAGTAGCGATTAAAAGTTCAGCAGTGAGCACTTACGATGTCACTGTCATAGCTCAGGGTTTCTGACACTGAATCGCTCTCAGTCTCTTCTTCTTCTTCCAAGGAGGAAATGCTGATTTTATCCAACTCAGCTTCTATTTCTTCTTCGAGTTTTGCATCATCATCATCACTGGCCTCCATTATTCTTCATCATAAAAAAGAACCCTTTAAAGAAACATAAAGAGCCTAGTAGGTCCTGGGTCCCTCAATACTATGGGTTCTTTCATCTGTCACACTAGCCCAATCTAATGTATGGTAATACATTTCTGCTTATCGCCTCTACCACATCTTCTGTTGCACCACATGTTTAACAGCTTTGTTTCATCACTTCATTCATTCTCCTTTTGAAATGTTTGACAATGTGATCAAATTTAATATTATTTTGGATTCTTCAAGGGAAAATTATAGTGAATAGACTGGCTTCTTTTCCTGTCCTTAGAAGCTTCAAAGTCATACTACTCAGGGATAAATGAGTAGCAAAATATTTTTGAACAGCTTGAATACTTAAGACATGAAAATACTCAAGAGAACAGCCACAGACTATATATAAGAGAAAGATGTGGTTTACCTTGTTTGTGAACAGATTTCTGAAAATCTTGCTAGAGATAACTACATGCCTTTGCTAACTTAACACATCATGACAGCTAATATATGGCCTATCACCTAAATACTTGCTTTGTTTAAATCCTCAATTCTTGTAACCGTCCAGCAGTATGCTGTATCTCTACGTTATCATCATCGTATTCCTCATCACCCTCATCAGTGTCTACGCTTTGAGTATCTGTGACTAGGGAGACGCCAGAATATACTTAGGTAATTGATGACCTTCCAACAAAAACAATAAGCTAAATATCACTATGATCACTGTAAATGAGAAAACCAAGGTTGGAAGAGGTCACTTAACGGTCTGATATTATTATGCTAATATCTAACAGGGACCAGCTCTTAACTCAGAGATGCTGAATCTGAAGTTAGTACTTTTCCCACCACTAAATAGTCCCCAAACTCAGTCAAGGTCCTCTTCTGCCAAGCAATCCCTTGGTTCCTCACCTACCCTCATAGCATCCACATCATATATCATGACCCATTAGTAGGCTAAGTGATTTACTGGCTCTTACTAACGGAGTTTAATGATAGAATAGAATAAAACAGAAAAAGTCACGATAGGCTAGAAAATATAATTTGATCGTCTATATTAAAGGCAAAACTGTTTAATTTTATTTCCATCACAAGTGTGTATGGATGTATATATGCTTCAATCACAATGCAATGCATTTTTGTATTGCTTAGGTTTTTCAAATTTATGTGTTGGCTCAAAAAAGTTTGAAAAGATACTAACCAGTATTATTTATTTTTCATGACAGTCTCTTAAAATTTAATTCTCTCAAGGTGCCTTTCCACAAGTTTTCCAGATTTTTCTTCATTCTTCTCCTAATTTTCCTTCCTCTAATTCCTTCTTTTACTCATTTAACTGAAATCCAACATTTGAGGACACACCATACATATTCACGGCAGTGCTGTCTGCCACAAACATGGTCATTAAATGAAACAAGTTGCAAGTTTTCCACGAGTATGTTTCTAGTTAACAAGGAAAATGAGACACTCTCATCTTCCATATCTTTTCATAAAATCTTTTCTTCTCCATCCTCTGTGGGAGAAACTCTCTTTCTTAATAAGGTGCTATTTGTAACTTTGCATCTTACTGATTCATGCTCATTACTCCTTCTGTTCAGTACCTCTTCACACATTTTTATTCCTCTAGTCCTTTTCCCCTCCTAAACACTGAAACTCTTCCTGCGATAAAACTGATCAGTGCCTGCCTTGCTTCTAATTACAGGCATAAACAGCTATATTTTACATGAAAGTGATTTAATGAGACTACTTTTTATGTATTACCTGAATTCTAGTCTTGTCCCAGAGAAATGAAAAATAATCTTTACATGGAAAGTTACATATAAATACTTTAAAAAATCTGGCATACTACCTCCAACCTGGAAACAACCAAAATAGCCCCCCATAAGTGAGTGCTTAAATAAATTCATGCAAATCTGTACCATACCATTATTCAGTAATAGAAGGAATTAACTATAGATACCTGCAACAACACAGACAATCTCTGTGAATCTCTATGTAACTTCTCTAGTTATAAGCAAAAACCCAAACATAACATTCATATGATTTCATTTACATAACATTATTGATTTGGCAGCATCTTATAAATGAGGAATAGATCAGTACTTAGGGAGTTGAGGGGGGTGTGGGTGGTAGGCAAGAGCCTGGGGTTACACAAAGGCAATCTGGGGGATCCTTGCGTTAAAGCTGTTCACTTCAGTGGTAGGAGGTAGATGAACAAATACAATGATTGACACTGTATAAGACAATACACATAAATGAGTACAAGTAAAAATGAGGAAATATGAGCAAGATTAATGTGTTAATTCAAGGTCAATATTCTGGTTTTATTATAGTACAGTTTCAAAATATTACCACTGAGAGACACTGGACAAAAGAATGTGTTTGTATTGCTTCTTAAAACTTGCAGTAAACCTACAATTACCTTTGGAAAATTTTAATTTTATCCCAAATTTGAAATGATCTTAACACTAAAAGTGTTCCAGAATTTATCATGTATTCATAAAATGCTACATGAGATCTTGGAAGGGTGGGTACACTAACCATACACACATACACACGCGCGCGCGTTTTCAGACAAGGTAACCTTCTGTGAGAGATTGGGGCATATTCCATTTTCAACCCAGATCTTCATTTTGAGTATTTTAATTATGAATATATACTATTCCATAATTCCAAAAGCTCATCAAAAAATACTCAATTTTATTCACACCCTTCTCCTTTCAAAGTAAAGCAAAACATAACAGTAAATGATATAAGCCCTATACAAAAAAATGCAATTCAAAAGGTTTGTTGGCTGGGAAGTTAAATTTTTATATTCTATTACAAAGTAGAGAATGCGTGTACATAAAAGTGTGTGTAGCGAGAGGGACGGAGAGCAGAGAGAAGGTTCCAGTCTGTTCCTTTTGACCCTCCCGTCTGCTCTCCGGCAGCCTCTTTAGCTCAGTCCGACCCAGTGTTTCTATATTTGAACACAAATGCAAACTTTAATTTTCTAGTAGCAAATTTTGACAATGAAAAACACATGAAATTAATTTTAAGAGATTATTTAACCTCATATCACCAAAATGTTGTTTCAACATATAATCGATATAAAATTATCCTTACTTTGCACTGCGGGACAACAGGCACGCGTTCTACTACTGAGCTACATCCTCAAGCCGTAAAGTATGAAGAAAAACGCACAAATTTTGCGTTCTTGTTTTGCGCACTGATTCTTGAAAGCTGGTGTGTATTTTACACCTGCAGCACCCCTCAATTTAAACTAGCAGTGTTTCGAACCTGTGCCTTGGGATTTCCTTGCAGGAGAGGCAGCGCCGCCTTAGACGACCCCGGCGTAGAAGGGACCCCGGGCCGGGGCCAGCCCTTTCGGGGAGCCTGGCTCCAGCCGAGAGGGGTGCAGCTCCCCGACCCTCCCTCAGCGCCACCGCGCCAGCCCCAACGCGACTCCCCCGGGTTTCCCGGGGCTCCCGCTCACCGTCAACTGCAAAACCTCCCGGCTGACTCCCAGGACTGCCACACCCTGTAAACAAATCGTAACCACAGCAACAGCCAATTCCAAGGCGGCTCCGGCAGCTTTTCCTTACAGGTGCCGCAGAGGGACAAACAGAGTGCGATTCTGAGTTGGACGGAACGCTGTGTTGCAGGAACTGGATGAGCAGTTGTCCTTCCAAGTCGCTTTTACAGTTAAACAATTTTGGAAAATAGTTAATGAGGAGGTGGCATTCTTGTCATAATTATTCAAGTAAATGTCACCTGACCTTTAAGTTATTTCTGAGCTATCTAAATTTATGCTGGTATCCAATAAATACTGTTACCTATGAATAAATTGTTCTTTCTATAAAACCTTAATTCTGAAAGTGATTTGTGGGACCTCGAAGTACAGAGGAAAAGCCAATAAATTGGTCGCAATCCGTGAAAACTGATTATCAAAAGAAAACATCAGTTATTATCAATGCTAATCAGAAACTTCAAAGGGGATATATGGGGTGAAAATTCTAAAACTTCTTTTCTAGGTATCTTTTATGTAAAATATTAATCAAAATCCACTATTTTAATGAAAATTTGAAGATCTAGCCACACATCACTGTGTTTAATTTTAATTTAAAAATTCATCAAGATTTCTTCTGTGAAGATAATATACAAGAGTTCATACACATGAAATTTAATTTTTAATTTGCAATTTCCTGTTTGTATATTTTTCAAGTTCGCAAATAAGGCATTCAATTTCAAAAGGAAGTGGTTAGGCATTATTGCGAAACACACCTGCTAGACAATACAATAAAAGCAAACATGTCATTAATCCTCTGAAGGAAATTAAACTGCGTTTCCTGGTAGCAATAAACTGCACCATACAAGAACAAATAAAATAGGATGATAAATTAGATATCAGATATAAAACCACTATTTCTTACTTACAAGATAATAACTTTGTAAAAATAAACAATGCCTGGCTTAAAATCTATCTTCTACAGTCATTAATTAGCTTTATTACTGAGTTGGGGGCAATTAAAAGTTTCGTTTAAAATGGTTAGGCTACCATATCACATATAATATCTTTTTTATTTTTTTAATGAGACAGAGTCTCTCCATGTAGCCCAGGATGCCCTTGAAAACACTAAATAGCCCAGCCTGGAATTGAACTCATGACAGTCCTCCTGACTCAGCCTCCCAACTCCTAGGACAACAAGCTTATGCCACCACGACCCCTTATGTATGTAATATTTTAAGATTAACTTTATTTATGATTGTCAAACTACTAGGATTTTCCTAAAATGCATTGAAACCTTTGCTAATCAATTTTACAGAACTAATTTTTAAAGATTGGTTTTAGAACTCAAATAATTTTGAACACAACATGCACACTAACCTTGTGAGAGCACAGATATATAGAAAGTCCTTCTAAAGATGAGCCAATCCATTTCTCAGGAGATTTCTACTTTCAATTTTTCCAATTTTTACTTTGAAAGATCACCGACTACTGGATATTCATAACTGAACTAGAATATTACTCATAAAAAGGAACTGAATGCAACAATTACCCGACATAGCCATAGATTATCAGTAAATTTAACTTGAAACAATAGTTTTTCAACAAGTAATGTTTTACCATGGATGAAAAAGGTGTGGTATTTTTATACAATGGAGTATTACTCAGCTATAAAGAATGATAAACTCAAAGCCTTTATATTGAAGTAGATGCCACTTGAACATATACTCATAAGTGAAATAGACCAGACACACATGTGTAAATATGGTATAGTCTCCCTAGTATAAGAACTCAAAAGAAGAAATACAAATAGAAAGTTATAATACAAGTAAAAGGAAAGCAGGATCTCAAGGACTAACTAATCAAGAGTGGGAAAGAAGAAGAGCTAGGAAACTCGAATAAGTCAAACCATACAGTTATATGTAGAAGATGGGCAAGGCAATGATCCTGAGAATATTCAGATTTTTTAGTCTAGCAGTTATTTGGAAAGATTCTTACCCTGACTAACTATATATACTGATACCTGTGAGCTAAGCTACTGCACTGCAGATGATAATTTGTAATAGTAGTTTCATGCTTGGAGTGCCTGTCATTCTGGTCTTCTGAATATGGGCTGCTTGTCATGACATGCCAGTTGCTGCTATGATGTCTCTCAGGTAGGTGGATGTTCAAGAAGAAGGGGGTGGTGAATGTAAGCAGGAGACAGGAAAAGGAATATTGTGGGACTGTCCTGCTTCAAGTTTGTATATGGTGAGATTTTTGGACTTATGTGTAAACATAAGAATTATATAATTCTTTATGCCTATTTTAAAATATATTCTAAATTTTAACTTTTTTCATCATAGAGAACTTAATGTTCTTTACGATGAGACTTAAAGTTCAACATATCAATACTTGATGAAAAATACCTGTTCCATGTTATGCCTAAGATGTTTAATATTCAGACAGATAGTGAGGTTAAGCTTAACAGCCTAGGTTTTATGGTAATAACAACAAACTTTTCTTCTGGATGGTTAACAACCTAAGTTTGCAGACCAAAATTAGAGAAAAAGGAGGGCCTCAAGGAAGGCCAACATTTTGGCCCTAGTCTTCCAAGGTCAATTAAGACTCAGGAAGTATGAGAATTTCTACTGTAACGTCACGCAACTCAGTAGGTTCAAAATTTTCTGATCAAGGAGATTATGGGGCTAAAGAGGAAAGTGATCAGTGATGTAGAGTGTGCCTCAGGAGAGTCACATGGGGAGAAAACATTCTCTCAGGCTTTCACAGGGAGCACATTGGCCAAGCAATGGCCGTGACTCATCCACATGGCTGACACTGACAAAAGATCTACAATCTGAGGTACAGGATCTCAGGATAAATCCTGAGGGGATTTCACTGACCTTATCAGACCCAAAAGCTACAACTCTTGTTACATAGGTCTTGCTTTATCTTGGTCTTAGCCATCCAGCAGAAAAGTATAAAAATGAAGTATAAGAAGTAAAGCCATGGTGTGATGTTGAGCGGTAGGGAACTCAGGTCAACAACTTCTGACATTGCCAGTCAAGCAGAAAACCCAATACTATTATGGGCTACTGGACTCTTTTATAATATTTTAATGAGATAACACACTATAATATTCAAATAACGGAACTAAACAAGAAAAAGGGATGCAGAAGAATGTCCATTTTGTATCTGTGCATTCAACATGGTTGAGATAGATATAAAGTTACATTGTCTTAGTGAATAGAGGAATTTGTTCCAATAGTGTTTGTAAATAGGATATCATGTCCTTATCTTGTACAGCATATAACCAGTAGGAAGAATATATGCAATGTGTTAATTATTGAAACTGCCCTACCAATTTGGTTTGAAACTGTCCCATCGCTATTTGTTTATCAATAAAATTATGGAAAAAAACAAGTAATGTTTTACTAAATGTATAGCTGATTGTAATCTAAAAATTGTTACCTCAGATAGAGTATGGTAATTTTTCTATTACCCTTCACCTGAGTAGGTATTTATTTTCTTTATATTTTATGAGTCATTTTTAAGCCTGGTTAATGAGGAGCCTAATGTTCTAACACAACATACTCACTTGTGAGAACAAATAATACATATTTATTGAGAGAATATAAGGATGAGAGAAAGGATATCTGACAAGGATAATATATTTTTGAAAAATGTAATTGAATTGTGGAACCATTTTAGTTTAGAAAAAAACACATTTCCACAGCTGTTTCTCCTTCATATGACAGTGATATAATTTATTTTTATTTTTTAATCTTTGCATTTATTTATTTATTTATTAAAAAATCCACTCGGAAACAGTGTACCATTTATTAGTTATTCTTTTGGAACCACTTGTCTCCCCAAAGTCACTTATTCTCCTTCTTTGCCTCCACAAAGGTTCTCTTCTCTGTTAATCTATTCCAGGGGTAAGTTGATCATTTCTAAAAATTTATATTTTCTTTTTTATTTTTTCCCATAATTTTATTGATAAACAAATAGCAATGAGACAGTTTAAAATCAAATTGGTAGGACAGTTTCAATAATTAACACATTGCATACATTCTTCCTAGTGGTTAATTGCTGTACAAGATGCAGGCATGATATCCTATTTACAAACACCATAAGAACAAATCACTCTATTCATTAAGAGAATTTAACTTTATATCTATCCTAACCATTTTGAATACACAGATACAAAATGGACATTCATCTGTATACCCTTTTTTTGTTAAGTTCCATTATTTGAATATTGTAGGTGTGTAAACTCAGCAAAATATTCTAAAAGAGTCCAGTAGCCCATAATAGTATTGGGTCTTCTGCTTGACTGGCAATGTCAGAAGTTGTTGACCTGAGTTCCCTACAGCTCAACCTAACAGCATGGCTTTACTTCTTATACTTCGTTTTTATACTTTTCTGCTGGATGGTTAAGACCAAGGTAAAGCAGGACCTATGCAACAAGAGTTGTAGCTTTTGGGTTTGATAAGGTCAGTGAAATCCTCTCAGGATTTATCCTGAAACCCTATACCTCAGATTGTAGATCTTTTGTCAGTGTCAGCCATGTGGGTGAGTCACGGCCATTGCTTAGCCAATGTGCTCTCTGTGAAAGACTGAGAGAATGCTTTCTCTCCAAGTGACTCTCCTTAGGCACACTCTACATCATTGATCACTTTCCTCTTTGGCCTCATAATCTCCTTGATCAGAAAATTTGGGACACTACTGAGTTACATGACATTACAATGCAAGTTCTCATATGTCTTGAGTCTTAATTGACCTTAGAAGGCTAGGTCCAAAATGTTGGCTTTCCTTGCAGCCCTCCTTTTCACCTAATTTTGGTCTGCAAACTTAGGTTGTTAACTATCCAGAAGACAAGCTTGTTGTTATTACCATAAAACTTAGGCTGTGAAGCTTAACCTCACTATCTGTCTGCATATCAAACATCTGAGGCATAATATGGTACAGGTATTCTTCATCAAGTATGAAGTGGATGCCACTTGCACATATACTTATAAATGAAATAAACCAGACACACATGTGTAAA